CCAAAGTCGGGATCCTGAAAAAGAAAGTCAGGATCCTGAGAAAGAAAGTCAGGATCCTGAGAAAGAAAGTCAGGATCCTGAGAAAAAGTCAGGATCCTGAGAACCAAAGTCAGGATCCTGAGAAAGAAAGTCAGGATCCTGAGAAAGAAAGTCAGGATCCTGAGAAAGAAAGTCAGGATCCTGAGAACCAAAGTCAGGATCCTGAGAACCAAAGTCAGGATCCTGAGAACCAAAGTCGTGTTACTGAGAACCAAAGTCGGGATCCTGAGAACCAAAGTCGGGATCCTGAGAATCAAAGTCAGGATCCTGAGAACCAAAGTCAGGATCCTGAGAACCAAAGTCGGGATCCTGAGAACCAAAGTCAGGATCCGTTTTTATTAATTTTTTCTCCCATGTCCCCTCGCAGGCTCCGTACAGTTCTGCTGTGCCGCCTGTCTTAAAGACTTATCCAATTAAAACTAAATGTCACCATAGCTGCACTTGCAGCACACCATGACCCAACATCTAAGAACATTAATGTTGCTTCTTTCTCTCTTTCCTATTTATTTGTCATCTGACTGGTTTTCAGCTGTAATTCTGGTTTCAAATCATGAGAGGCTCACACGTTCCTCAGCATGAGTTAGATTAGAAATTGGATTGTGTGCTTGAATTATTCACCTGAGCATGGGTTTATTTGGCATCTGTCCTAACCACGTTATTTAATATAGCCCACATTCATCAGACAGGAGGTGGGAAACACGTTGCACACTACAGYTCAGTCAAGTGTGTAATGCACAGATCTGGCTCAGCAGTAGCCTGAATGGGTTTCATCAGAATAAATAATAAGAAGTCAGYTTTTCTCATTTGCTGAAATGGGAAAGGGTGCCCATTACAAGCTTCCACAGACAGTTTTATCTCTGATCTTATCCCTTGGTTGTGTTTAATTACCTCATTTTATATTGCTCTTCCTTTTACGTCTTTGTTCCTCTGCCGTCCATGTGATTGACTGCTGCAGGTGACAGATATGATGCAGAAAGCACTGTTTGACTTCCTGAAGCACAGGTTTGATGGCAGGTGAGCAGTGACAGTAAAGAGCCATCCTCCTGCTGCCGGTGTGCTCTCTGTGATACGCATGTTTTGCTTTGCTGCAGGATATCCATCACAAGGGTGACAGCTGACATATCGTTGGCCAAGAGGTCAGTACTTAACAACCCCAGTAAGCGGGCCATCATTGAGAGATCCAACACCCGCTCCAGCCTTGGTAAAGCTACAGGAACTGTCTCACTCAATGATGTGCATGAAGTCTTGTAGGTGTTTGGWCAGTTTTGCATTTAGTTTGGGGTTTCCTGTTCACTGTTGTACTGCTTTATTCACTTATAGCCGAGGTCCAGAGTGAAATAGAAAGGATCTTTGAGCTGGCCAGGTCCCTCCAGCTGGTGGTTTTGGATGCGGACACCATTAACCACCCAGCTCAGCTCATCAAGACCTCGTTAGCACCGATCATTGTCCATGTTAAAGTGTCATCACCCAAGGTAAGATAGATTTGTCTATATTATTATTTTAACCAACCACAGCTGTAAAGAGAACATCCACAAACAAAATAATGAGCCACTTTTACACTTTTTAAATTATTTTATTCAAGTATCAAACTGAAAAAATGAAGAAAATAACCCACACTGATGTGATTTAAACTGCCTGTCCTTCAAATAGACAATGTCAAGAAAACATCTTTATATTTAAGAAACTTGGCACAAAACTGGCATATTTTCTTTTGAACTTGGCTCAGCCAAAATGAAACAGGAAGTGACATCAAAGGGGAACTCTTCAAGAAATAAAGCTATCTGGTTTTTGCTTATTGAAACAAAATTATTTGAACTTTGACTCTCCTTCATATCTTTGATAATAACTAAAAATAATCTAAAGAAACAGCAGATTTTTCTCTACAGTCGGAGTTCTGTTCACATGCAGACGGTCCCCTTTGACATCACTTCCTGTTACTTCACATGTGAATATCTCAACAACTGTTCATCTCAGCTGTGTCAATTTATTTTTGAAATATATTATCAGTTTTATGTTTTCAACAAAGAATTTGTATTTTATTACAAAAAAATTGATGTCACAAGCTGCG